ACACACACACACAGACAGACACACACACAGACAGACACACACACTCAACCTAAGTTTTCCCATATCGCTACTAGGGAATCGATCCTGTATGATGACAAACACAGTTGTGATGATACCGTTCTCCACTCTATCGATTCAGTCTTCAGCCACCACCATTAGTGAATGTAGGTTAAGACTCCCTGGAGCTCAGCTTGGGCCTGCTCCTCTGTTTCTGCATCTGTACGTCAACGTGCTGCAGTCGCTACACAGACACATATAATACACACCTACACACACACACACACACACACACACCCTGGCTCCAACTAAAACACACACCCATTATACAATCTGGTGTATCGCTATCCTTCGGGGGGGATGAAGCTTCGGTTATTATGGTCATGAGATACTGAGGGATGTTCTGAAAGAGCAGCAACGCAACTATCACATTATTATACTTTCATTTTGTGTTATTTTGTTATTTTGTGTCAATCAAATCATCTCCATGTTTGTTTTTCTCCTTTCTTATGCACTGTAACTACTGCTTTTGTCAAACCTGTATGTACATATATGTGTGTTTGTGTGTGTGTGTGCGCGTGTGTGTGTGTGTGTGTATATATGTGTGTGTCCGTCCGCCTGCTTGTCTGCCTGCCTCCGTAGGTATGGAAGGGCCCATGTCTCACCGGGCCCCGCTCGGCCCCCCCTCTGCTGCCCGTTTCCACCGGCGGAGAACCTCCGGCACAAGAGACGAGCGCTACCGATCAGGTAGAGAGATCCCACCGACCAACACACACACAGTCTGAGTGTCACTCAGCAGAGCTTGGGAGTTTTCTCTGTCGCTGAGTGACACTTGGATTTGTAAAACATAACTTACATTTCATCGCTATTTCTAGTTAAATTAATTGATATTTGACCAGAGTTATTCATTTCCTCTCAGCCCAGAGAACGTTGTGACTGTTACGCCCCATAAACTGATATTTATCTCCTCCTGTTTTCACATCAGCCCCCGTGTTAACTTCTGCTTCCACAGGAGAAGAGTTTTTTAAAATCCCATCAGATCCAAACAGAAACTCTCGAATTCAGTGAAGTTGTGACGTCAGCCACAAATATTTCCTCCTCTGTCTTCCTGGGACTGAAACACACTCTCTCTCTCTTTATCTCAGATGTCCACACCGAGGCCGTGCAGGCGGTGTTGGCGCGACACGTGGAGCGGAAGGTGGCGGTGCCCATGCCCTCCAAAAGACGTTCACTGGTGGTGCAGACCTCCATGGATGCGTACACGCCTCCAGGTGATGAGACACACACACACACTCACACACACACACCTGCAGCTCTGTTATCTGCTTTAGGAAATGTTGTCGTCTTCTTAATTTCTATTTGGAGGAGACTCTGACAGATTAATGTGACAGAAATCACAAGTTAGAGTGAAGTCAAACGGAGTCCGGATAATTTCCTGTCGACTCTGAAATAATTGCGCAGTAGAAAAATATGCTTGGAAAGTGAAAGAGGGACACACACAATCACACAAACACGCACACTGTGGTTATCTCAGCTGAAGTGCGATGTACTAAACCTAAAATCTGACCCCAGAGAGGCCGTCCTGTGCCCAGACAGGATTATGTTGTAATGCTCCTGTCTCTGCTTCTCAGACGCTTCGGTTCTGACAGAGAAACACACTCCATTCACCAAAAAATGCAAACGTGCACATTTTCTGAGGCGTTCAGACCCACTCACAGATTTACAGTAAAACCAAACCGCAAACAGCTGTTGTGTTGCAGCGAGTCAGCTACTGTCAATGTGGCCCGTCGTTAAGAAATAGGAAAATGACTGATTCTTAACTCTAAGTTTGTGTGCACCTCTGTCTCGGCTGAATCGAGACAGCAAAGTTGACCTTTACCTCAAATGTGAGCTCATTAGATTGAACATAACCAGAGTTGATAACGTAGATTAGATGTTGATTAGATTTTAATAAAGGAAATTTAATATCTTTGTTTGCCGGTAATTTCCTTTCTAACCTTTGAGGGAATTCGTGGGCGAAGCTGACGTCTCTCAACAGGCTCAGAAACACTGAACGTAAAGTAGAAAGTCTCTGTGATGTGAAACCTAAGATTTCTGTTCACATCGATGTTGACTGCGCCTCATCTGCGTTCACATGATTGACTCGTAATTTAAGAAGGAAACTGGCTCTTTGAAGCCTGGAGCCAGTTTTAAGTGAATTGGTTTTCGGGGCGTTTCCACGTAATCCGACCAATTATTGACATTTTGGCTGCGTGAGCTCACGAGTCCTGTTACCTCGGCCACTTAAAGGTCGGACGGCTCCACTGGTGAAAACTGGTGAATCATGGTCCACTGCTTTAATTTGAACCATTGTTTCTGTGAGACAGAAATAAAACCCTCGGCTCAGATCTGTTTGTTATTACCAGGCTCACATGTGGATCCACAGTCGTGTTGTCTCACATGTTGAAGCTCTGTTTATTATAAATGATCACTTTAACTGAGAGGATGTTGTTTTATTGTTTCATTCTTATTATCGTGATTATTATTATCATGACTTTCACTACATAGACAGAAGTATACGGACACATAGACAACAACCGTGGGTGCTTATTTAATTTAATTTAATGATTTAATATTTAGTGTGAGTTCACATCAACCTTGTCCCGACTGGACCTCAGACTTTCGGCCCAATCACAGGAAGTTACAGAAGGTTTTTTTAAGCCATTAAACAATAAAAGAAGAAGAAGAAGAAAAGTAACCACGACAGAAGTAAAACTGTGCAAAGATAACATGTGAAGAGGAGGAGTTAAATGTTTGATTTGGATTTATTTATGAAAATTATAATGATGAAATTGGTAAATCGCTCACAGCTGACTAATGCAGCTTAGCTTAATTTAGCATGAAGTCAGAAAACAGTGGCCAGCAGAAGATAAACTCTGAAAATGTTCAACTTTAATGTTTTATCTTCAGTTGACATTTTGATTCCAGTGCCTGTGTGTTGACGTTGTTTGAAGGTTTTCTGTTAACGAATAATGGCGGTTACTGACTCTCACCAGGCCTGTCCCCCCTGTGCTCAGACTCGTCGTCGGGCTCGGAGGAGGAGGCGGGGCCGGGCGACGACATGTCGGGCATGGAGCACTGGATGAGCCGCCCATCCCAGTTGGGCCCCGCCCACCTGGGCTCCACCTCCTCCTCTTCCTCGTCAACGCAGAGCGGAGGCAGCGGCAACGCCGGGCGACTGGCCGACTCACTGGCCCACACGCACATCTCGCACCTGGCGCACGCACACCTGGCGCACACGCACCTGGGCCAGTCGCTCCACCAGCAGAGCCTCCTGTCACAGTCACACCACGGTAAGACCAACTTGTGCGATTACAGATCTGCGGCTTCAGTTATCAAGTGGTCACATGATTAGATCACGTGTGTGGTTCACAGTGATAATGAACGTGTTGAAACACTGAAGTTTATCAATTCATGCTACGTAGCACCTCCACCTCCAGCTCATGATCACGTTCTTGACGTCCTGGGTTGGACTCCTGGTTCGACCAGGGCCTTTCTGTGTTCCCCCGCGTTTTATTTATTTTATTTACACCACCACCCTTCTCTTTTATTGATACTTCCCTATTTGTTTTGTTGATTTATGTTATTTACTCATACTTTCTAATATTTACCTGTGCCCGTCTGTAACATACCCGTCCCTGTGAATTCAGGAATCGGCCACTTGTCCCTGAAGAGGAAGGGAGCTCTGAGCGTCGCAGAGAACGGAGGATCTCTTCGGCGATCCTGTGAGTTTGGCTCCGACATGCTGTGGCCACCGCCGCTGGAGTCAGACGGTACGTCACAGCCCAAAAATACTCGCCCTGTCATGGAGTCTCTGCAGGCTGTGGAAGTGTCTTAATCAGGGCTGAGGTTCGGCCAAATACTTGTTGGATTAAGTGTTGAATATGTTCCGAGGTAAACAGATCTCTTTTAGGACATTTACGGTATCATCAGAACAAAAGAATGAGATTAAAGCTTCCAGAGATTCACATTCTGACCTCAGTCAGTGGTTTTGATCCTGCATCTATAAAAACCTTTTTCATGATTTTTAGATATTAAAAGTTGTTGTCGAGCTTCAGATTTTTGTCTAATCTGATTGTGTCTCATTTACATTTTGCTTCAGAGTATTTAAAAGAATGGATGTGTTGAAATCGGCATTTAATTGAAAACGAGCCCAGACCTCGCTCTCTCCTGTGTGTCGGAGATTTGACCCAAATTAACTAAAAAGTCCAATTGAGCATAAGAACCTGACTAATTGAGCAGAGAGGCGAGAGAGCGCAGCGATAAATCTGAACAGTGAGTCACCACTGGCTGTTTGTTCTTCTGTCTCCCTCCAGAGAATCACTCTGCCCCCCCGGATGTGACGGGCTACTCGTCGGACTCGTCTCACTCCCACACTGAGCGTCACCACATGTCCAACATGGGAACCATTGCCAGGAACACGCAGAAGTACGGCAACGCAGAGCGCATGGAGACAGGCGACGGTAAGAGTCACCGCTGTCGCTGTGTGGAACGCGGTGGCATCTCAAGCCCGCTCCCAACTGGAGCCTCTGACTAAAGATACTGAAGACACCTGGATAAAAATAGAAACAGGAGGTGAACTCTAATTGGACCGACACCTTAGAGAACTGACCAATTACAGGGAGTCTGCTGATGTCACTCCCCTCGATGAGCAGATTCACTTTTTTCTTTTACCCCTTTACAGAGTAAACATAAAATATTTTACCTAAAAAACATTTTTTCTTCATTCAAGTTGTTTTCATTTCTCTTTATTTATAATTATTTATAGTTTATACGTTTATCTGGCTCTTGTGGTTATTGACGAGATCCTCACGGACTCTTTAGGAAGTACTTCCTCCACTTTTCTTTCCAGTGACCGGTTGTGTCTTTGTGCTTCCTGCAGGCGTCCCGGTCAGCAGTCGTGTGTCGGCTAAGATCCAGCAGCTGGTGAACACGCTGAAGCAGCCGCGCAGGCCTCCGCTACGAGAGTTCTTTGTCGACGACTTCGATGAACTTCTAGAGGGTCAGAATCTGTCTTTGTGTCTGCGTGACTCAGTCTGGGGCAGTTTGTCTCACACTTTGGAGTCACGATGAAATATCCGACTCTTGTCTTGTGACTGGAGTCGGAGCGTGCAGGTGGAGGCTGAATGAAGCAAATCTGCAGCTGTGAGGAAGGTTGGAGAGATTTCTTGCAGAGCAGTGAAGCAGCAGCCGTAGAGCAGAGGGAGCACTGAAAGTTAAAAAAACTATAATCTGAAAGTATGTGTTGGGTGGGTGCAGCAGAGAGTGAGGCATGATGGGTAGGAGCTGCCGAGCCAGAACATCTGAACTGGCTCCCAGGTGTTCTCGAGCTGTGATTAGTAATAACAGGAACAGGAACTGCCCCCAATTACACACACTCATAAATATCAGTCCCTTAAATACGTCAGATTTTCTTTTTTAATATCAACAAAATAAGAAATATGAACTAAAGCCAACTAACTTATCTGCATCCTGAGAAGCTCTGTCTTATTAGTTTGTGTTGATATAAAAAAGGTTCCAACACTAAGTTTTGAGATAAAAACAATATCTAGGTCACAGAAACCTTCTTTCTGTCTTATTTTATATGTGCAGCTTCTCCTTGATAACTTACATGTGTCAGAGTAAAGAATTATTTCCACCCAGGGTCATGTGGAGTCCATGTTAGAGACCAGATGATCGTCAGCGCAGCTCTCACAGAACAAAAAGTTCCTGACCAAGTTCAGAGTTTTTTGAAGTTTATGTCGTAGGAATCCTGAGCCCAGAGATCAGAGCAGATCTTTACGTCTGCTCGTTCTTTCTCCATCTGGCTGCGTTTTCTATCTTTGTCTCCTCGCTTCTAGTCGCTAATCTTTCATTGTCGTCTTCAGAAACCTTATCTCCTGGAAAACTGCTATTTCTTCACTTTTCTTGCAGAGTTCGGATCCGTTTTACAGCGGGTTGTAAATATCTGCGCTGCGGTCACTCGGGATCATGTGGAGCTCGGGGGGTGATATAGTGACTAAGACCTCCAGTTCACTCTGGATCCATTTTTTATGACGATGGCTCAAGGTCGAATCCGACTGAATCCCTCCCTCTGAGGCTCACTGCTGTCTCAACTAAATATTAAAGCATATTAAAGATTCGGTTGCCCTTCACATTCCCACAACACATCTGTATTAATAACAGCTTATTCATTAGCAGTGTGTCGGAGTGTGATTACAGCTTCCTCACAGCCGTCTCACGTTAGCTCAATGTTTCCACCACCACAGTGACACGTTATCTGTCTCCTCATCTGCAGTCCAGCAGCCGGACCCCAATCAGCCACGGCCGGAGGGGGCGGAGATGATGCTGGTGCGAGGCGAGGCGCTGGGGGTGGTCACTAACTGGCCCCCCTCCCTGGAGGCTGCGCTCCAACGCTGGGGAACCATTTCCCCGAAAGCCCCCTGCCTCACCAGCCTGGACACGGCAGGGAAGCCCCTCTACGTTCTCACATATGGTAACCAGGCGCTTGAGCACTCAGTACATCTACGTCGTTATGTATGTGAAGCAGAACATGTGCAATGATCGCTGGAAGATTCACGTGGAGGTTTTAGCTGCTTGTGGACAAAAAGAATGAGACTCTTCTAAACACAAGAAAAGAATCTCCAGAAACCGAAGCTGTTGTTTCATGTTGGTACATATTTCATCACAACATCATTTAAACCTCGATGGGACCCTGCAGCTCTCCCTGGGTTCCAAGCAGATTCATTTCCAAAGTCTACGAAGCAGCTGTGACTGAATGAAATAATAAAGTTAAATCAGGAAATAGAAACGGATTCTAACCCCAACAACATTATACATTTGAAGTATTAACCAAAGGGTCAGTATCATGTATCAGTGAGAACACTCTGTGTTTTCTCTTGAAGGAACGCAGGAGAATAAGCTCGTACAGTTCCAGCACACACACACCTCGTCTTTATCAAGGACCTTCAGTTTAAATCATGAGTTAGATTCAAACTGAAGTCCTGTGACCAGAACCGTCTTTATTTACAACATTATTGTATTAGACAACTCTTTGAATTATCACAGTGAACTGAAAATGATCATCCATAGAGACCTCTCCCGCCGGCTGAACATTCTTAACTGTCGTCACGGTAGATATGTGTTTTTCTTTTATTGACTGTGTGTCCTCGAAATAGACAAAGAACACACACACACACACACACACACACACACACACACACACTCTCATATCCTGTGTCCTGCCCCCTGCAGGGAAGCTGTGGTCTCGCAGCATCAAGCTTGCCTACAACATCCTCCACAAACTGGGCAGCAAGCAGGAGCCCATGGTGCGACCGGGGGATCGGGTGAGTCACAC